AGCCACTCCGCTGTTCGGAAAAGCTAAGCCTCAGGGTTCTCTGCGTGAGAAAGAGTGGTGGGGATGTTATCAGAGACCTCACCTGTGTGAAGAAAGTTAAACTGTGAGGGAGGCAGCATGCTGTGATCTCCTTAGGTTTCACTTCGGGAGATGTTCCTCATAAAGTGGGTATCTGGGATTTGGTAAAAAAACAAAAACAAACAACCCCAAAACTAACAACACTCAGAGGCCATGCCTGCTCTTCAAGCAGTCAGAATCTACAGTAGTTTTATTATTATTATTATTATTATTATTATTATTATTATTATTTTGTGCTGCCACATAATAAGGAACTATTTTGGTACAATCTCCCAAGGGGTTTTCTAGACAAATGTAGATGACTAGACTATTTCTGACTCAGAGTCCTGGCTAAAAACAGAACTTAACATTGATACAGCGTAGCTTGTGAAAGTTGTTTTCCTCTGAACTACCAATGTCTATTAATAAAGAACACACAAACTAAGGGAAACTTTGTCTCACTTAAAGGATGATGAGAGCCGGAGTAGAAGGAATGGCCTTCAGCGTCGCACTTCAGGTCTGGCGGGGTGTGGTGAGAACTTGGGCTGAGCGGGCGCACACAGCTATAAGACAAGGCGGGTGCTGTTTGAATGACCAGTAAAGAGCAGGGTCTTGAACCGGTGAGAGTAAAACACCAGCAATAAACCTAACCTCGAGGTAGAATCTAACAGAAAAGGTGGAAGCTTAACCTCCAAATCTTCCAGAAAACTGAGACCCAGGAGCTCCCTGTTACCTACCTCACACGAATAATCCCTCCACTTAGTGTTCTGCACTGCGACGTGTATTATCTATTTGAAGCTAATAAAGTTACTTTTCTAATTTGGATGGCCTTGGGTAAACAGAGCTACATTAAAACATGTTCCTGTTACACGGCTCACACATTGTCTTTTTAAATAGAAAATGGAGACAAAAACCCACTCATGATGAACTCATTACATTTATGTCTCAACTCCTGAAGAGGAAAAAAAAAATAACACTTTTTTGTTGTTGTTAAAGTCGTTACAGTTTTTAAATTGTTTTAGGGTAACTATGCCAGCATGGTTCCTATATTGCAAACTCATTTTTGTCTCACTTAGTTTTAAAATTAGCAATTTGCTTTTGCTCAGAACAGCACACTGTATTTTAATATACTATTAAATTTGAATTAAGTAGAAGGGGGATGGGATTTTTCAAGCCACTACTACTTTTACTGCTTATAAAAATGTACAATTCTTTTCTACTCAGAGTGAACTTACTCTTATTTTGAATCATTTTCTCATTTTTTGAATGCCTAAATATCACCGTTTCCATAGTACAGAGCAATCCCAAGCTGTATACAACTAACAGTAATGGAACTGAGCCACTGCGAACTGCTTTCTCCATGTTCTGTAACTTTTGAATAGATGGGACTACTCTTTGATTAGATTGGACTGTATTTTTCACTTGTTCGTGACTTTTAATTTGAAAAGTAAAATAAGATTTGCATTTTTCAAATTTTTCTGAAAAGGGTGGGGTGGGAAGGATCTTAAGATCTGTAGCCCAGTTCTTCCGAGCTCATAGCTTTTCCCTGGCCACTAGCCATAGCCATTCTTCATAAACTGTCTCTCTTTCTGTTGCTTACTTGTAACCTTGGTACAGTTTTTTGCCTTGGGAAACAAGAAACTGGAAACTTTGGTTTTGGCACCCAGCCTCCCTCAGATCCACGCCCATGGTAACTTCCTCCCTCCTGTGTCCTCAAGCCTGCCTTTTCCAGGTGGCCACACACACCCTGTGTTCTTCTAAAGCTCATCTTGCTCTTTCTCTCTCAGGAATGAGGCAACATGGAGAAGTGGAAAATTACGGGGGAGTGAGAAAGGAAAGGAGTCCCTCACCTGGGGGAGAAGGAGGAATTCCAACATGATGCTGTGGTGGTTCCAATAAAAGTGCTCCCCATAGGTCCATAAGCAGTGGCACTCTTAGGAGGTGGAGCTTTGTTGGGGTAGGCATGGCCCTGCTGGAGGAAGTGTGTCACTCAGGGTGGGCTTTCTGGTTTCGAATGCTCAAGCCAGGCCTAGTGTCTCTCTCCCTTCCTGCTGCCTGCCACTCTGTGTAGGAAAATCTCAGCACACGCCTGCCTGCACGCCACCATGCTTCCCACTATGATGACAAAGGACTAAACCTCTGAACTGTAAGCCTGCCCCCGTTAAATATCTTCCTTCATGAGAGTTGTTGTGGTCCTGGTGTCTCTTCACAAGAATGAAAGACACAACTAACACAGATGGCATCTGATTTAGGCTTCCCTTTCCATCTATAAACCTGCAGTTTTCTAGGAATCATCAGAAGCCAATCTACATAGAAAGGAAATGCACTAAACCCTTTGTCCAGTTTTAGGCGTTCCTGGTTTTTTAGCGTGTTAGATTACAATTCCATCCCAGGTGTCTCTGGACACAGTCTAAAATTCTCATAAAAAGAGAAAAAAGGGAAGGAACAGTTTCTTAACAAACTTTTAAGATGCAATTTGAGGGCCACTAAAATGATATGTGTGACTAACCCGGACAGTTCCTATGCTCCCTTGGAAAGCCCATACCCACCCTTGGGTCTGTCTTACTTTCTGACACTCCCTCTGAGAAGCCCACAGTGACACTTGGAAACAAGTTCTTCTTTATGCTGGCTAGTCCTGAAATTCTTTTTTGCCCTGAAGCCACAAATCACAGTTTAGGCTGCACTGGGGTCCATAAAAGCCTACTGGGATGGAGCTATGCATCAGAACCCTTGCCGCTGGTAGGAAGAGAGTGTTTTTTGCTGTCCAGCCCCTTTCCCTCATTGAGTTACACAAACACTCAGCTCCTAATCTGTATCTTAAATCTTTTTGGATTTCCTATTGCAGAGGTTTTCATCCAGTGCCCAGGAGTTCCTGATAGGCCCATGGATAGATATTTGGGGAATGGGATCAAACTTCAGTGTAAAAACAATAGTAGCTTTACTTTCTATAAACCTTTAACCAAAATGTTAACTACATTTCCTTAAATTATGACTACATGTGATAAAGCAAAGTAATATAGAAACTAATGTTATATTTTGATCTAGAGTATTCATATATGTTTTCATATCGCACTGAATTGCTATAGGTTCCTCGAAAAATCTCAGTTTAATTGGCACCTTGTTTCTAAGGTATACGTTGTTTTACCTATTGGGCTCCAGCTAGAACACATGGACAGCTGTCTGCTTGTCTACATATCTGAAGCAACACAGTAGGATATCAAGACAACTAGTACATAATTTTATCAAAAATTATATTTTATGTTTGCGGATGGATGTTTTGCCCACATGTACACTTGTGAACCGTGTGCAAGCAATGTCTGTGGATGTCAGAAGAAGGTGTAGGATACACTGGAGTGACAGATTGTTGTGAGCTGCCATGTGGGCGCTGGAACTCAACACTAGGTCCTCTGGAAGGGCAGTCAGTGAGTGCCCTTAGCTACTGAGTCATCTCTCCAGCCCCAATTTTACTTTCTTTGATAAAATATTCCAATGTATTGGTTCACTTACTATATCCACGTATTTTTATTTTATGTGCTTATAGATATTATTAACAGAAGTCTTCAGGCTTCCCCGTACTGCCCGAGTGATCGCAGCACAGAGATGGTGGGACTTCAGGTCAGGAATCACGGCAGATAACTGCAGAAAGAGTGCTCCTGCCTACAGCAAGCAAAACCCTTTATTAGCTGTCTTGTCTGTTGCTTGAGAAAATGAATGACAGCTAAGCCCTCCGTATAAAATCCCAGCTGCTATGGTCTGAATACATCCGTTTAACTGTTGGCCCCTGGATGGTTTTAGGATCACTGCAATAACATTTGAGTTCCAGCTTGCCGTGTGCAGGAATGGCACGCTGTATAAGAACACAGCGGATTCTGTGATGGAAATTTTAGAATGGGACCTAGATGGAGGAAGTGGGTTGGTGGAGGACATGCTTTTGAAGGTTATATTTGTCCCCCGTCCCTTCCTCAGCCTGCTTCCTATCCTATCTAGAGTGGCATGACCAGTGTCCTCCTCTTCATGTCTTCCTGTCCTATCTAGAGTGGCATGACCAGTGTCCTCCTCTTCATGCTCCTATCACCTTTATCACAGGCCTAGGATCGGTGCAATCCATGACCCCAAACTGAAATCTCTGAAACCGTGGGCCAAATAAACAGCTCTATCTCTCTCTAGGTAGTTCTGCTGAGAGCTAAGGGATTCTTTGTTTGTTTGTTTGTTTGTTTGTTTGTTTTTGTTTTTTGAGACAGGGTTTCTCTGTATTGCTTTGGAGGCTGCCCTGGGACTTGCTCTGTAGACCAGGCTGGCCTCGAACTCACAGAGATCTGCCTGCCTCTGCATCCTGATTGATGGGATTAAAGGTGTGTGCCACCAACACCCGGCTATGGGATTCTTTTACATCAAAGCAAAACCAGAACAAGACGAAACCAAACAAAAAATGTAATGTGTACACTAGGAGAGAAAAACTTGCTACCTTACCCAGGAGGTTGATGACTGTAGCACCAGCAGAAAAGAAAGATACCTAGCTGGCTTGAGAGCCTCAAGAGATGGCATGGCCGCGGTTGTCTGTTGATAGAAAGAAGAAGGTAGAAGAGAGGGTAAGACAAGGAAAGCAGGAGAGAGGACCCAGAGGAAAGGAAGCTCTCGGCATAGATGCTACTCAACCTGTAGACCACAGAGGGGGAGGGGCGGGGGAGGAGGAGCTGTAGGACAATGCCATTGGTGTATATTCACTAGGTATATTCACTCTGGGTTACCTTTCAAACTAAGTCCTACTAAGTTAGACACCAGCTCTCTGGAACCAAAAGCTTGCACCCTGAAAGGACCCTTTGTCTTCCACAAAAGGTAATAGATCTTCCTAAGAGTTAGGAAGACGTCCTCTCTACACGACTCGGATAAATTGTCTGACCAGAGAGGTTGCCTCTTCTCATATAAAACCAAAAACAACAGCTCAGCGGTAGAGAATATTTCGTTTTATGCTCAACAAGGGAGTTTGGGGGCATTCCCTTTGTGGTCTTCAGTCCCCACTCCACCAACCGATTTTCCCAACCACGGTGATCAACTGTTTTATTCCATTTCCCATCTTCGTTCTCGTCCAACTATCCTTCTTCTCTACACAGTCTCTGTCTTTGAAGGGCAAAAAGCTTTCTACACGATAGAAGGCTTCAGCCTCTGGTTGTGTCCACAGCCACTGGCCGCTTCGCGTATTTCTTCTCACGTACTTGGATTAGCGCTTTCTCAGTGAGCTTTCCAAATCCAGGCAAGCGCTTCTCTCTCACTTCAGAGGGGCCTCTTAGAGATGGGAAACACCATGTAAACAGTTTAAACAACATCTCTTCGAAGTTTTCCTGTCCTTCTGGATCTTAAAAGGGAAACTGGAGATCTTTTATTTAAAATACACATATGCACAGTAGTTAAAGGTGATTTTTATCTTAAATGTTGAAGAGTTGAACATTCATTCAGTCTGCAAAATACCTTCAGAGTGAGTGCAGTCTGTTGCCTCATCCTTTAAACAAAGTTTGCCTGATAAATGCAAACACTGACATCATGTGATGATGTCAGCACATTTCTTTATAAAAGCAGAATGTATGGAATATGATACACCAGGACAAAGTTTCATAACTCGAGTGAAATATACAAGTTACAGGGAAACAAAGGGAGCATGTAGTGCTGTCTTGTGTCCTTTCAGCAGTCATATTGCTGTAAAGAAAATGAAATTTATGTTAGGTTATTATCGGTGTCAAACACACAGTGCAACTCATCCAAAGCAAAAATAACACAGAGTGACCTCAGTCTTTATTGGAAGTTAGCCAGCTACACAACTAGGGATCAGACAACGCTCACAAAATGTTTCCTAAACAAACCAGACCTACTTTTTCCCCAGGAAAAGTTATGGAAAAGTGTTCATGGAAACTGCTTGATATTGACACAAAGTTGACTTGTAGTGTTTGCGTGGGAACCTCCCACTGGTGTGGGTTTGTTGTGGGTAACCTTTCTGATCAAATGCTACCAAGCTGGGAGCCAGCCCTGTCCTGTGAGAGTATCTTTTGTCTTGCATATAAAGGTAGTAGATCTTCCTAAATGTTAGGAAGAAGCCCTTTCTACAGTGTCTACTATGAGGACCCATGTGCTTGCCTCCAGTTCAGGAGATTATCTCTCCTCACAGAACACAGAGCCAATTTTGTTCACCAACTCCTTATGTGTGCCCCAAATGCATGGAAGTCCAGCAGCAGCTCTGGACTTAATGCTGGACTCTGAGTTTATGCTCTGCTTTGGATGAGTTTCAAGGGTGAGCAAGTGTTTGCATTTAGGACTCAGTCCCAAAGGCTTTATTCTGTTCTCTGTCCCCTGCATTGCCTGAAAAACATTGTCATACTGAAGTTTTCTAACTTGGCTGTTTTCTTGGAAATTTTGCAGGATCCCAAAAGAATTCTTAATCTTGTGATACTTGCGTGATAGGGAAAGATAGATGTTTATTCTAACTTCCTCTCAAAATGTATAGAAAGTTCCTGGAATATTTACAGCCAAACTTTTCCTGGTAGCAAGGACTTTGGGTTTCTATTTAGGTTTTTTTGTTTTGTTTTGTTTTTTATTTTATTTTCAGAGCAAGTCAGAAGATACTGAATCAGAGGGATGAATGACATAGGATGTAAAATATAAATGAAATAAGTTTGCTTACTTCATCTTGTTTTAAAGAATATGACATAAAACAGCAACTTCCCAAAATGGACCAAACCTTAACTTCCCATTGTTCAATAATATTATATTTTTAGGAAGATAAGGAAAAAATAGCTTTCTCCATTATGAAAAAAGTAGATAATTCACTCCTAAGTCATATCCCCAGGAAACCAGAGCTTCCTGACTTTCTTTCACACAGAAAGTTTCTTCCAAAGGGCTATTCAAAGGCTAATAATTGTACTCCATGCTTACTGTATAGGCATTTTTTGTTACTCCTTACCTTATTAGGAGAGAATTACAGAGAATCCAGCAGGACAGGAAGTACAGGGTATAGATTAAGAGGAAGGACTTTGGGCAAAGAGTTGAAGTCTGTTACCTCCTGCCTGAGTGACCTTAAACATCCTCCTTAATGCTAGAGTCAGTGGAAAGTGAGTTTAGTGTTACATATGATGTTATCAGTGTTGGTTACTATTCATGTGTACTTAAGGAGCATGAAGGCATGCATCTTAGACACTCATGTGTAGCTGTAACCAGAGTGGGGTAAGGGAAACTAACAGGGGTTGACTTGGAAGAGGTACTGGGTCTGTGGGCAAGTGTTCCTGTGCCCACAGAGCCATCTACAAACCAAGATGACTGAGTCTGTGAAACTCAGTGCTGAAGCCACATTGAACTGATAAATGCCTACCTGCAAAGATGAAGGAAGAGTAAGTGAAAGTATGTTGAGCGTGTCTGGCTTTGCCTTTTCTCTTTGATGAGAAGAATGGTGCCTTGTGGCAACTGAACACTACGGGGCTAGACCTCAACGTTGTCACACAAATTCTCACCTGTTGGTGGGAGCAGCAATAGCTACACATGCCTTCAAGCACTCCATTTATGACTTGAATAAGACACAAGATGAATTCAAGTCCACCAAACGCCAAGAGGGTAGAAAATAGCGTCACATTCCACTCCACAATATTCTTAGGCTCATGGCACTTGGACCACGTAGTGGGATCCAGAAGGTACCTGTGGTCAGAAGAGAAACTTCAGGCACATGACTGTAGCTTAGAGGTATCTCATGACTTACTTTGTTGCTTGCAAGTTTTTATTCAGAAACACAGAATTGAATTGAATTAACACAAAACTTGTGTGTTAGATTCTTGGACAGCATACCATTCCAACCAACGACAAGCTGCAGTCCAAATGTTCTTGCAATAATAAGCATACAATTAAAGCACAAATTTTGACACTAATCTAGGATTTTTATATTCTCTAAAATACAAATGATTTCTTGTGAGAAAAAAAAGCAAAGCCACATTTGCAACATATTTAAAATCAAGTTTTAAAAAAAGTCATACTTCATGTGGATGTAAACTAAAAACAGATATGGAAAAAGGAAAACAATTCATGTTGGAGGGTAGTAAACTTATAAAGCATATTTTTATTCTGTTACCCATTTTTATTATTGTTTAATATCTATGGGAAAGATATTGAGCAAATATTTATTTGGAAAATATACTTTATATTAGATTTTTCAACTCTAAGATGTTATTTTACTAAGATACCAAACAACTTACTTTTTGAAAGCTATCCAAACTCTGCCAGGTTAGAATTCAAATTGTTGACATAATTTTTTTAAAATTTTAAGCAAAAAGTTAATTGGCTATAGAAAACCCAAGGGTTTAAGTCCAGTCTCTTTACTCTCATGGTGCTACAGGCATGCCTCTCCTCTGTAGCAACACAGAGCAACTTCCCTTCAGCTGTTCAACCTCGATTACTGAGCTTGTGTGTGAGTTCGAACCAGCTGATGCTAGGACATAATGGTGGGTTCTGTCCATAAAGAATATGGACTCTAACGGAAGGGCAAGGATTGAGATGCCACGTGCACGGATCTGGTAAAGGAAGTGTGAAAGGCTACCAAGGAAAAGCACCTTCCAGAGAGAAGACCTGTTATATCCCTACTCCCCAAGGCTGAGCTCCATGAAGGCAGAGGCAGAGCCTGACACCCGTTCTTCCTAAACCCAGCCACCAGCACAGTGTCCGGAACACAGTGAGTAGTAAAAGCCACAGAATGATAAATAACAACCTGAACCCTCTTTGTTAAAAATCACCAGGCCTCCTTGCTAGGGTTGAGTGTGTGTGTGTGTGTGTGTGTGTGTGTGTGTGTGTGTGTGTGTGTGTGTGTATGATGGATTTCTTTTCTAGAATGTCAGCCCTAACTACCTCATAGAATATTTGGATTCCCAGTAAAGCAGGATTCAACTGTGTGAGAACATTGAGCATGAGGGAGTGACCTAACCCCTCATAGAGGCCTGGTACAATTCCTTATCACCTCTTCCTACCCCAACTTGAAGCCAGATATCTAACTTTGGAACAGTACACTGAGCCAAGAAGATATTCAACTTGTTGATTTAAAACAAAACACACTGCCACCACCCCACCCCTAAAAACAAAACAAGAATCTGTCATTCTGGCCCTGTGTTTCCTCTTGTCAATAGAACAAAGTCTGTTTTTCAGGTCACAGAGTCAAAATTTTCCTTGGCTCTATTTAACTACTGAAAAACAGTTTGGAACTGTCAGTTACTCTACATGTTGAGATCCCTTGGCAGAATAAAATAAGGGATGATCTAGAAGAAGTTTTTAAATAAGTAAATAAATAAATAAAGCATAAATGAGCAATGGGAGATGTGTACAAATGGCTCTTAAAATTTGTTGAGTGATAGACATAACCCTCCATGCATCCGGGCTGCATGCATTTTGACTGTCCCTGGAGGCAGTTTCATACAACTGTTCTACATGTTTGTACAGACATGAATCATCATTTTCTGTGAGGACATTATGTCCTGAACAAAGATGAATCACACTGGCGACATAAAATCTCCACTCCAGTAAGTACTAGGTTCCCTTCAGGGGCTATCATTCGGTCATGTTCATCCTACCTTAGTGCTGGCACAGCTCACAATGTGTCACCCTTAGCATGAGCACGTCACACACACACACCATCTCATTAATGCCCATAACAACTGCCATTGGTTCCATTCTACAGATGAAATCACTGAGAGACAGAGAAGTCAGCTCACTTCTTCCTGTTCTTAGAGAGTGACTGTGGAGCTGAGATTGGACAATCCTAGTCATTATGACTTTTTCATTTTTGCCCTTCAAGAACTTAGCCTTTCAAAATTCAAGCTTAAGAAACTGAGTCAGGCCTGGGGAGATGGTCAGGGGTTAAGAGCATGTGATACTCTTTCATGGGACCTCAGTTCCGTTCCTGGCACTCACGCGGGGCACCTTACAACCATCTGTAAGTCCAGCTCCAGAGTATCCAAAACCCTCTTCCGGAGTCTGTGAGTCTGTGGGCAGCTGCACTCACACATGCACACGCACATACATGCATACACTCACTCTCTCTCTCTCTCTCTCTCACACACACACACACACACACACACAGAGAGAGAGAGAGAGAGAGAGAGAGAGAGAGAGAGAGAGAGAGAGAGAGAGAGAGAGAGAGATGAAAGTAAAACCTCTTCTTTTAAAGAAACCACGTCAGGAAAGGATGAAGTGTACTCATTCATTCCCGCATATACCAGTTTCCACCAGCTTTTCTATTCTGTTCCTTTGTTGTAACCGATAAAAAAAATGCCAGCACAACACACTGGGGCCTCACTTAACTACGCTGATGTTAGAGTTGTGGATGAGACCTTTCCTGTGTCTCATGGTAAATCAAAAGTGTTTGTATGTTCCGTGTGAGCCAGCATACGCAGGTGGAGGGTGGGAGCATTGTTTGTCCTGGGTTCTGATTACAAAAGGATACTACGATGCTTTCTTGTGAACTCATAGGATGTGTTGCATTTGACCTGCCCATCACTGGGCTGTAATGTACACAGTTATCTGAGCATAAACGCTCCAAGGCAGACAGGCTGGGTTCAGAGACTCACCGCTCACTGGTATTTTCAAGCAATGAAAGATTGGATAAGCCACCATCTTCCTTTGCTTCTTTTCCGCATTTGCAAATGAGAAGTAACTATGGGAGTCTCTACATGGGGCTGTTGTAAGAACAAAGTCAGTGTATGTATTCAGGAGCATCTAGAATTTGTCCGGGTTGATGGTTGCCTATCCATCCTTACACACTAAATGAGCTGTTGTAAGGTAATATTGGGTGGATGGACAGATAGATGACTTGGTTTTATGTGTGGCGGTTAAGAAAGTATTGCTAGGTAAAGAACAATTACATACTGTCCGTCAGTGTTGGCAAAGGTGTAGTTCCACATGCCGTGGGAATCACCGCACTTTGGCCCTTCTGCCAAACCCAGTGCCGCCACGATGACGCAGTAGCCGGATCCCGCAATGCCAATGAGAGCAGCCATTATGGAAGAAAGCATCTGGGGAGAGAAGAGGCAGGAAGTAAGCCAGGCCCACGTCAGGAATGGAGCCTTTGCCCAGGAGGCTGCGCAGAGGAGACTTACTGTGCATCTCTTGCCATAGTTCTCACAACTCCAGCAGCCACAGCAGTCCTCTCCCTCCAGCCCAAGGAACACAAAAGCCGGCAGGAGGATCTGGTGGGAAGGCGAGCAGAATTAAGTCAGTGTCCTTCCTGAGCTCGTGTGGGCGGGGTTAGGCAGTTCACTTCTGACGGTTAGATTAACCAGATATCATGAATGAAAAGCCTGAGAAGAAACAGAACTATTGCATGTGCTTGTTTCCATGGACGGTGGGTGAGCATACAGAATGTGAAGCAGTGATCTATACATGTGAGCATTCTGGAAGAATCCCTACCATATTTTCACGTGAAAGCTGTTAGCACTGTTGGTTCTAAGGTCTGTCTTTAAATGTGATTCTACTCCTTGTCTAACATAGAAGATCAAATCTTGAGTAGAATGACTGGAAATCTTTTGAGCAAGTAAAACAAAGATAAAAATTTCTCTTTAAAAAATACGATCTATTTCAACTCAGCAGTGATGCTGTTCAAACAAGAATGGGCTACTTGAAGTTTAAGGGCAAAGACACTAAGCACAGTGAGTGTTAAGCAGTGACTTCGTTTGTTCATTAATTGTATTTGTATTAATTATGGGCACACGAGTGGTTATGATGCTTACACTCAAGGCACATTTACCAAGCTATGCCACAGTGCACATATTAGGGTTACAAGCCTTACCATCTTTTAGTTGGAAAAAAAATAGTGTTCTCTATGACAGCAACAACCCCATAAAATTTCTCTTTGCAATTCTTAGTCACAGCATTCTACATGAGCAAACCCAAATGGGTCCCCATTCTGTCTGAGTTGAGGACAAAGCTAAATGTGTCAAGTAAATTCCTGTCAGCTTCAACTAAAATTGAACATTGGAGAAAACCAACACATTCCACCATTAGACTGATACTAACCTGCTTCTAACTCCAAACCCAGGAGAAAGCCCACAGTTATTTGAAAATACCAGTGCAGTCACTTAATACCCCCGTTACAGACGGTGGAAAATAAGAAACAGAGAAAGATTTAAACCCCCAGACTGTTCTCTCCCCGGGGAAAACGAGAAGTGCCTGTCACTCCAGCACTCAGAAACTGGATAGTCACTCACATCTTGAAAAGTGGCCTTTTTTCAAGTTGTAAAGTAAAAGCGTCAGGGGACAGAGAGTTCACTCTAAGGTAAAAGATTTTTTATTAAAACAGCATCTAATGAGATTAGCAAAAAAAAAAGTTTAACGCAGCCTTGGAATGGTCTGCTTTTACAAGAAAAAAGCGACAGCAGTATCCGGAGGATTTACAGGTAGGCATTACAGAAAACTTCCCGGGAGAAAAATGCACTCTACCATTCAAGAGGAGAAGAGTTTTGCAGAGAAAACAGTTGCGAGTAACTTACCAGCAGGCCTCCGCCTACGATGCCGGCAAAGAACCACACAAAGCGGCTGAGGTGGTCCTCATAAGCATACTTTGTTTCCCCATTAGGAAAGTAGAGCAAAATATTAGCTACGATGCAGAGGACAGCAAACACCACCAGGGAGTGTCCGATGTATCTTGTACACTTGCTGGAGCACATGGTGGCAGTCGGGGCCCTACAGGCTTTCGCCCTTCCCTCTCTTCAGCTCAGAGATGTCCGGATCAGACAACGGTGTGCCTGTTTCTGGAGAAAGCAGACGCGACTCACAGCCCGTTCCTGCTACCACTTAAATAGTGCCAGGCCTTAGTGCCAGTAAATGAGGTACTGTGCTTTCATTGGTCCAGACTTCAGGCTCCGGTTGGGGTGGAGGGATGTGAAGAATGCCCCGCCCTTCAAATGAAATCCTTGGGACCATGAAACCAGGGGTAGGGTGTGAGAAAACAGCCTCAGTCACAGGCAAGAGAGAAAATGAGTAATCCACCGTGCAGCGTGTTTACAGGACAGAGAGGACGGGCGAGTCTGGCACAGCTTCCAGTAACTGCCCAGAGCCCGTGGTGGGACGCTTCGAGGCTTTCAAAGAGCTGTGATTTTTCTCTTGCAGCTATTTGGACAGCTTCCAGTCTGAGGCTGTGTTCACTTCTGCATCAGCACGGATTTAATTTGCGACCTGGGGCAAGTTTCCTCAGCTCTGAGCTCATTTCCTCGTCCCAGACAAGGTGCCCAAGCTGTCACCCATAGACTTAAGGAGGCTGCTGGGAAAAAAAAATTATAGAGTGGCTTCCTTTCCTCCGCCTGCGGCTAGCTTCCGCAGGACAGATCCCTTAGCCCGCCCTGCTTCCCTGGACTGCATTGCTGCGGAGGGCATCTGGCCCACAGCAAGATGGTATCCAGTAACACAACAGCTCAAACATTCCTAGCCAGTGCTGTGGGGCACAGCAGAGACTGAGAAGGGGAAGACAGGCCCGCGGCATGGCTTAGGGGGAAAGATGGGAGGGGAGGGACTCGTGCGCCCTTCCTTGATGGGTCAGAAGATGGAGACGAGAAAGGCTGACGAATCCAGAGAGGCCAGCTTGGACCAGATGCAACCCAAAACTACAGAAGACAACCACTAAGCACTACGGGAGGAGGCTAACAATGGACGGGACTTTATAGTGACACGGGATTAAACTGGGGTCAGGACATAATGCCAGCCGGGCTGAAGAAATAACTGAATATAAATACAGGAATGTGTGCAGTGAGTCCCCACAAAAGTCTCATTCTGTCACCAACACACTCCTAACAATGGATATGTGGTCTCTCTGCTTGACTGCGAGTCCTGTTTAGAGACAGCATCCTGTAGCTGACTGAGGTGACCACACGGATGAATGACTGGATTCTTTGAAAAGTAGCAAGGCACTTAGAAACCGCTTTTCCTAAAGAGCACCCACTACAAAGTTACTGAAAACAGAAGAGAGCCTGGCATCTTTACTTTCGTCTTGCCTTTGTCTCCTCTAATCTGGGGGCCCTACTTACCTGATACGTAAATCACTCAAGACATGTCTGTCTAGGATCTGGTGACACCCAGACTGTCTCATTCTCCTTGGAGGAGACAAGCACAAGATAAAGGCCTAGGTGACTTGCTGTCTGTCTTTTGGCCTCTGAAAGTCATCTTGTAGTCTCTGGTCTTTGGTCATCATGGATTACAGAAACAACTGAGCCTGGTAGAACACACCACGCTCCACATGCGGGTGGACAGGTATTCACAGCGGGAGGCTGAACCGTGAAGCTCTCATAATCATCTACAGGGGGCCAGCTTGCTCCCTCAAGCCGTGAGATCCCCTCAGGACGCTCACGTAACCATCACTAGTACCCCAACGCCCCAGCTCTTTCTCTAAGCACAAAGCTCACCTCGGAACACTGATATGAACTCGGGGTCACTGGACAGCCTTATTTGTTGGTATTCACACTTAGGCTGATTAAATCTCGTCTCTGTGTTCTGTCATCATCTGTCTCTCTAAGGGCACATTGGGCCTTCTGTCTTCCCACGTTGTCTCTCCGTCTGCTCACACCAGGTGAATGTCCCGATCAGTGGCTCAGACTGAGCAGGTCCGTCAGACTGTTGATATGACAGCTTTCCTCTCCTCAGAGAAAACCAATGCCCTTGCATGTAAGCAATCACTTTCTCCTGGTTTCTAGAGATTAGCAAACTCCAATTGAAACTACCAGATCCTTTTTACACTTTTCATGGTGTAAAGTCTGGAGACCACTTTAATTACACAGGGAGATTTGGGTCTTAACTTCAACATAATGAATAGGAAGTTTTAGGCTGGATTGGCAATACGTGCTTTCATTTTGGTTTTTGAGTCAGGGTTTCTTTGTCCTGGAACTCACTCTGTAGACCAGGCTGGTCTCCAAGTCACAGAGATCCGCCTGCCTCTGCCTCTCCAGTACGAGGATCAAAGAAAGGTGTGCGCCACCACTGCCTGGCTCAATATGCATTGTTATCACTCTACGTGAGTCGTTTGTTCTCTCAAGCTCGGGAGCCAAAACTCCAAATAAATTCCCTCCTGCCTGCTGCTCCCTGAGGACCCCCTGCAACGCTCTTTAGCAATGGCCACCATACGGTGGAACGGAAGTTGCTTAGGTGGGGCCTGCTGCAAAGGTTGAGTGTAAGGTGTTTCCAGATGAACTGACAAAATAACCAGGGGACAAAGGAGGGGGGTGTGGGGCAGCCAAGAACCTGTGATTCTCCTCCCTCCGCCTTTGAGAGCAGAGATCACAGGTAGAGCCACCACGCCTGCCCCCCCAAATATCCTTTGTTGTACATCCTTTCTCTATACCCCCGCACCTCCAACCCACCTCCCCACCCCCACCCCACCCCTGGCTTCTTCAGTGTCCTGCGCTTCTACTCTGGTCACCTAGCCTTGGAAGACACAAGAGTCATTTCTCCTTTGGTTTCTGGCTAGAAACTAAGTATGTTTGGAGGACAGAATTTCTTAACCAAACCTTAGTCGGGGGATAATCGTGGCCTTCCTGTTGGCCACAAACCTGTGTGATAGTCACAATGTCCACCTCCACAGAGCCTTCATGGTCTCAGTTCACCCCACAATCCTTAGTGCTGGTCCTGCCTCTCCTCCTGCCCTTGTTTCTACTCTTGAGTATCGTCTTCTCTTTAAGCATTGTTTTGTAGGATTTTACTCATGTGCAAGCTGAACCTCCCCGATGTGAAAATCTGAAATCCAGAGTGCTCTAGAGTCCAAAACCTTTCCAGCACTGATGTAGTAACGCATGCGGGAAAGTTCCGTAGTATGTAGTATGTAGTATGTAGTATGTAGTAGGCTGCCATCAAAACACTGGGTCAGGGCCTGGAGATATGCTTCCCTTGCTCAGCATGTACAAGGAGATAACATAGTCACTAAGCTGATCACTAGTATGGCAAAAAATAAATAAATAAATAAATAAATAAATAAATAAATAAAATAAAAACCCCCAAACTAAAGATGCATTGAAATATTAGCAATTAGCTTTTGTCCATGTGTATTGTGTCAAGTATACACATGAAACGTTAACTGAATTTTGTGCTCAAGCTTGGGTCTTTCCACCCACGGATCTCAGTATATGTATGCAAACATTCCACACATCTCATCTGGAAGCCCTGGTGTTGAATAAAGGATAAGGAGCCCAGGTGATTTCCCAAGGGCCTCCTTGCAGACCAGTGCACTGACGCTCTGTCCCACTGTTACTCTTCTCCATCCCAGCACACCCTGTTCTGTCGGCGCTGATACTGCCCTGCCTGGCCACCTGCCTCACTTCTCTCTCCCCCACAGACTGTAGGTACCACTGCTGCCATGCTTGACGTAACACCCGCAGCACAGGTGCCTAGTACATAGTGTTAGGTATTTGAATGCATAAAATAAATGAGTTAGTGTTCCTTCAAATATTTTGTTTTAATATTTATATTATGTGTGCGGGTGTTTGCCTGCATGTGTGCCTGTGAACCGTGTGTGTGCATGCCTAGTGCCTGATGAGGACAGAAGAGGGTGTCAGATCCCCGGATCATCTGGAGCTGCAGCTCCAGGTGGTTTCTAGGTGCTAATTGGGTGCTTGCAATCAAACCAGGTACTCTGGAAGGGCAGTCAGCAGTCTTAAGAGTGCTGAGCCATCTCCCCAGTCCTTGGTGTTCTTATACGCTTCTTAAGGGATGGAAACCTAGTCCCTCTGCTTTCTGTGCCTTCTGGGAGCTCACGATCCCATATCTAAAGACTCCTTGGCTACTCACATCATTTTTTTTCTTGGCCCTGACACCACCAGGCTACGTAGTCTGTTGCAAGCTATCTGTGGCTTGGTTTATGATATCTATTCATTTCTGGTTATTGCGCTCCTATGGTGTCTTTCTAGTGAGTGGCTGGAAACACAACCATAAATGAAACAAAGCTTTTGTTCTTAGAGAGTGTTCATTCAGTAAGACAGAGACTTTTTAAATAACTGAACGACAGACTGTCTAAGATTATTATGCATGCAGAAGAGGGATTAGGTGAAGGACAGAGTAGAGAGGACCTCTCTGAGATGGATAACAAGGTTTACCTGATGGGGTGTGTGAGTCAATGTGCATAAAGCTTGAAGCATGTTGTGTTTAGCAACAGAGCAGTTCTCATTATTTACTATTTACTTCCTAATTTCAGCCACCCACTCTCTTAACTTCATTTATGATGCATTCTGTTTATTTTTCTAAGATCCCATCAGTCTGATATCGCTGGTTCTCCTCATCGTTCCTGGTTAACATTTTTCTCCTAGAGTCCCAACAGCCCTGGCTCACTTCTGGCTTCCCTACACCTCTGGGATCAATGCACAGGTGCATCTTGGGGAAATGGCTTTTACTACAGTGTAGACCTGTAGATTCTTGAGCACTGGTCACAGGCTCTCAAACCCATATTTCGGTATATGCTGCTCCTCTGCCAGAAGACTGTCCTGCCCTACTCTGCCCCACCCATGCTCCTGCCCTGCTCCAACTCACCCCTGCTCCCTGAGATGAACCCACTGCTTCTTCAAGGTGCCTTCCAGGCTACTCCACCACTGCCCATCCTCCCCACTGCTCAGGACTTTGTTGCTGACACATCACTCCCCGCTGTGGTACTCATCATACAGGTGACTATGCATCCTGGTCATCCCTGACTGAGTCTGACATCCCAGAGACTTGTACCTTCTCCTCACTCCACAAGGGTAGAACAGTTGACACAACGTCAGGCATTTCAGTGACTTTTAATAAACATTTGCCAAATGAATTA